AACCGATTTCACCAAACATACCCTCCCAGCAAAGGAGAGCATACGCCTTCTCCACCTAGAGAATCTTTTCTTTACTTTACTTATGACATCGTCCCAAAACTCATGCCTTTTGTGGTTCCCTCCAACTTTCAACCCCAGATATCTAAATGGCAATAACATTGTCTTACATCCTAGTTCTCATGCAAAGCTTTCCAGTAAGACAGGCTCCACCCCTATTCCTCCTAGTTTTGTCTTTCTCATATTAACCTTCAATCCCGATGCTAACTGGAAGCATCTCAAAATCGCCTTAATTACCGTGATATTATTTGGATTTGTATCGTCGAAGAACAGAGTGTCGTCTCGCAAATTGTAGAAGACCGACTCGAAGCTCCTTTCCCCCACCCCGGCTCCTTGTAGCATCCCTTTTGCTACCGCTTGCCTAACCACCCCAGACTAGCCCTTCAACTACCACTAAGAAAAGGAACTGGGCCAAAGGGTCTCCCTGTCTTAATCCTTTTTGGGGGAGAAACTCTTTTGTTAGGCTGCCATTCACCAGAACTGATATGGAGGCAGATTTTAAACAACCTTTAATCCACCTCACCCATTTCCTGCAGAACCCTAGTTTCTCTAACATATAGAAGAGAAATTCCCAATCGACAGAGTCATAGGCTTTTTCATAGTCTATCTTGAGTACCAAACCTTTTTTCCGTTTGCTTTTATACTCATGAATGACTTCGTTTGCTACCACAACACTATCTAGGAGACCCCTCCCTTCTAGGAAAGCGGACTGAGAGTCACTAATTATCTTATTTAGCATGCCTTTCAGTCGCCCTGCTAACACCTTTGCTAGTATCTTATACAGGCTGCCTATCAGAGATATTGGTCTATATTCATCCAAGTCCACCAGGATTTCTACTTTTGGGATTAGTGCAATGAACGAGGCATTACATCCTTTTGGAATATTACCCTCCCTCTGAAATTCTTCAACAACTTTTAATATGTCCGCCTTCAGTGTTGACCAGTTATGTTTTATAAAGCAGAAATTAAATCCATCAGGTCCAGGGCTTTTACTGCCTTCACAACTCCAAACTGCCTCCCTTATCTCTTCCTCTGATATTTCTCTAACCAGAGCCTCATTTTGTACCTCTATTATTCCTTCAAACGAGATCCCTTCTAATTTGACTCCCAAACTTGTTTCTCGGTTGAATCTTCTTTTAAAATGTTCCATAACCTCATCTTTTACTCTTACCGGGTCCTGACACCAAACCCCTCTAATCATCATCCCTGGTAGTTCCATCTTGCTTCTTTTCCAACTAATCAAAGAGTGGAAAATTTTTGAGTTTATATCCCCTTCCTTTATCCACTTGTCTCTTATCTTCTATTTCTCCATAGATGCACTCTTTAACATTATTTTTCTCAATTCTATTTGGTATAACCATATTTCCTTCTTACCTTCTTCATCCAACTGATCTATTTCATCTTTATGGTCCAACTCACTAATCTTGTTTATCAAGCTTTGTTTTTCCAAATTCAAGTCCCCGAACGATTCTCTATTCCATCTTTTCACATGATTTTTAAGCATTTGAATCTTCTTGGCCCAGTTTTTAATTCCCCCGCCTATGAATTCCATTCCTTCCCAAGCCCCTTTTACCTCCTCCCTAAACCTCTTTTCTTCTTGCCATACATCCAAAGATCTAAAGGGTTTGGGTCCCCAATCTATATTATTTTCTTTTATTACTAGTGCACAGTGATCTGAGATGCTTCTATCCAGTACATACTGTTTGCTCCCTTTCCATTCATGGATCCACTCCATAGATACTAGGGTTCTATCCAACCTACTCATTGAAGAACCGTCAGTTCTATACCATGTAAATTTTCTTCCAATAGACGGTAGTTCCCGAGCCTCTAGGTTCTGAATAAAATCATTAAATCTTCGCATTTCTTCTATTACTCTGCCTCTTATACTACTTCCTTTTCTCTCTTCAAGTAATTTGACGGTGTTGAAATCTCCTATTACACAAAACACCTTACACGACAGATTTTGGACGTTCATATGTATGTCTTCCCACAACTTGTATTTTTCCTTCACTACGCAAGAGGAGTAAACATTTACCACTGTCAGTTTTATATTCTTTTTCTTATAGATACCCGCTACTGCTATTAATCCTTCTCCTATAATCATGTTTACGCACTCAAACTTATTTTTATCCCATGTGCTTAGAATCCCTCCTGACCCATTTTCTGCTTGTTTGAAAGCCCATTGGATATTATTGTGGTTCCATATTTTATAGCATACACTCTCATCCTGTCTAGTTAATTTCGTCTCTTGTATACACACCATTTCTACCCCTTCCTTATTAATTACTTCCCTAATATATTTGATTTTCCCGGGGCTCCTAATACCTCTAACATTTAAGCTTAATATCCTCATGTGTCACAATCTCTCCCCTCTTCATCTATCTCCTTCAGTTTCATTACCATCAAGTTGTTATCTCCTTCGTACGAGAACCCCAGCTCTCTCCCTATCTCCCATAATCTAACCGCCTCCTGATAGTCTTTATTTAACCAGAATAGTCTATTGCAGTTTACTATATTACTATCGTTTATGGAGTTACCAGAAAAGAAATCTAACCTCTTCTCCTTGCGTAGAATTTTAGCCGAAGCACCCGAACTGGATCGACTATCGTTGCTAGTTTTCCCTCCTCCATTAGTCATCAAGGCTTCCTTTTGTAACTCGATGCCTTTCCGAGCCACTGCTTGATTTAATTCCACCGGTTCGCAATCCGCAAGCTTACAAGCGGTTCCTTCTACATCAGTTGATAGTCGTTTTGTGCCCAGTGTCTTTCTTTCGATGCCCTGGTTTCCCAGCGTCTCCTCAGCGTCCTTGACGGTTGAATTACTGACCGTCTCTAAGTCGAAACGTCTTGCTTCGAATTTTGAGCAATGAGACTGAGAGCCAGCCTTGATTTGAGTCCTGATCGCCTTTGCCCATTGCTTCTGTTCGCCATCGTGAATTGACTCCCTTCCCTCTGCGACAAATCTAACATATGCTTGATTCAACCCTTGCTCCTCCGGCACACAATTGATGATGGATAAAGATGAAACACCAATCGGGGGTACCCAGGCTCCCTTGCCTAATGAAAGGATCTCCCGTTTTTGGTCCTTGGCGAGGTTTCTCAAAGTCTCTGGCCTTTTTTTGAACTGTTCGCAGTTAGCCAAGTCTAAGCTGCTAGTATGTTCCATCAGCGAGGGCTCCTTGTTTTGTAGATATTGGGCCAACATCTGCTCTTCAGGTGAAGGCCCAAAACTTTCCTTCTCGAAATGGGCCATCAGATTCTCTTCAGGTGGAGGCCCAACCCTTTCCTTCTCAAATGAATACAAATTTGACTTTACCCCACTTACGTCTGTTCCCAGATCTTTGTCCTCAGCGTATTTGCTTTTGCTGACTCTATCTGACACATCTACCTCTGAGCGTTGATCCACACTTGATTTCTTACCGTTGGGTTTTACCGGCTCGCTTGGGTCTGAGCTACCTCCACCGGATTTATGACCATCCAAGGCCGGAGAAGTTCGCCTACCGATCCCGTCTTCTTCCGCAGAATAATCCGAATTTGATGATACGTACTCCATCGCCTCCTCTAACTCTTCCTCCTCTTCATCATCAATACCTTCGCACACAGCGCACTTAAGACCCTCCTTCATCCATTCTTCCTCTAACGATACCTTAAACACTCTTCCATTAATTTTAACACTCTGAGCCATGGTAGCTTGGGATGAAATTGGAAGTCTGATTTTTAGCCTTGCATAATCCAAGCGTGTCCACTTTAAGGTTTTCTCATCCACCTCTAACAACGTTCCCAGCACAGACACAACATCCTCGAAGGTTTTTTCGGACCATAGAGCTATCGAGATACCCCTGCATCTAGCCCACACCTGTTTGTGCCCACTCACCCAATTTTTGTCCCATCTTAATACATAAGTGAAGAGCTTAGAAAAACACTCAGAGTTTTCTTCCAAGATACCTGTTAATGTCTCTACCGAGTCTCCACTGAGGAGAAAAAAATTGTCTCCCATTCCCTTGACGTTGACATTGAAAAATCCTTTTAGATACAGGTTGTTTTCGATTTCTGACTTTCCTATGTCTCTTGCCGCTTCCACTATGAAGTTGTCTTCCATCCATTTCTGGACATTCTCTTCCACCTTGAGAGTTCTTCCCCTCCAAGTTTCAACGGTCTTTGTAATTTCCTCTTTCCCTTTCACCACGTTTGCAAAAGACTGTTGACCACCTGTCCTCCTCCATTCCTGCTTAACTGTTGGTTCTTTATTCGCCCGAAACAGTTGATGTTCATGTCTCCTGTATTTTGGTATGTTGACATGCATCTTTGTAGATCCGATCCAAATACCATCTAGATTTCTTTCCATTTGCTTGATATTATCCACATTTGTGAATTTCACAAAACCAAAACGTTGACCAGCTCTGTTTCTTTTATGGGAAATGAATATGTCAATGACCCTTCCCCACCTTGAGAAGATGTTCCATACGTCTTTTACCCCGAAAGACTCTGGGAATTTGGAAAAGAAGAACGAGGTGCCTTTTTCTTTCCATCTTTCTCTGATCACAGGAGCTAGACCGAGAGAATGAGAAGCCATTACGATGGGGTGTACATGAGATACTTTAGGAAGGGAAAGGTTGAGAATATGGCCTTTGGAATAGTTTTGTTGTAATATCACTATATAGTAAACACTCATAGTTTTGTCAGCCACAAAGAGTACAAGTTTATGTGATTGTGTTTCATTACAAGTATTTATTTTTCTTTGTATTACATGTTATAAGAGGATATTGAAGTAAACCAAGGCATTGTTCATAAGGTAGTAAATTATATTATTTCTTGTTTGTAGGTATGTGATTCAATTGGATATGTTTTAGTTAATATGAACATCAAATTATGAGTTTACCTAAATTTACATATTTGAAACATGTTTAGGTGATGGTCATCCAATGTTTAGGTAATGGTCATCCAATGTTGAAGAGTGTAATTGTCGATGAGCATGGGATAAGTGTTGTATGTACACCAAGATTAGTTCGCAAAAATATACACTTATTTATACCCAGTTTATATGATGTATTGCAAATATATATGTCTTATATTAGGTGTGTGTGATTTGACAAAAAAAAAATGTTAATTAGTTTGTGTAAATTAAATATGTCAAAATTTTAATGTATCCAATATGAAACATCTAGTGATATATTATGTGGAAATCATGTCATGTAATATAATTTTTTTTTTAGCTTTTAAATTCTAAAAAAGGTATAAAAACTTTATTAAAATTAAATATTTAAAATAATAAAATTAAAATAGAGATTATTTTAAAATATTATAATATTTTAAAATTAAATTAAAAAATTATCAACACTTAATCTTTAAATTTAAAAAAATATAAAAATATTTATTAAAAATGAAATAAGGGAATATATGTAAGCAATTTTTATTTATTGATTTTCGATAATTAAAATTTAATAATATAATTAAAATGAAAATTAAACATTAAGAAATAAGAATATAGATTGTATGCTAATATTAAATATGTAACTGTAAATATATTTTGTTAATTAAATAAATATACTGATATATGGTGACCTATATATATTCGGTGTGTCTGTTTTAGAAATAAGAATATAGATTGTATGCTAATATTAAATATGTAACTGTAAATATATTTTGTTAATTAAATAAATATACTGATATATATTAAATAATAAAGGATATGATATTAAAAAAAAACATATGAACATTAGAACTTTAATACTTATTGGGTGAAGTTATTAAGATAAAACTATATTCATTTAAAATATTTTAAATGAAAGAAAACACAAGGAACTTTGTCCAATACTAAGAAGAAGCTCAAGTTATCATGGAAAGAAATTGAACATTTAATACTTATCACCTACCTCAAATAATACATGAGTTGGAAAGCTTCTTCATCAAGTCCAAGCATCATCAAAAGAAAGCAAAAGACACTAAAAAAAACAGAAAACAAGCTAATGACTCTTTCATAATAATCTTATTAATAGATCATAACAACTATTTTTTTTTGAAAAGTTATATATAGAAGATCTTGTGTTGTCATCATAATCCTTTTAAATACCTCAATTTGTGTAAGTTGGTGACTTATTGGTTAATAACTATATGTTTTAAAGCTTGAAGAAGTTTATGAAAGAATAATCACACATGTATTAAACTTGGAAGAGTTTATGAAACAATGTGTTATAATGACAATGATAATTAATCATATTGCATAATCAATTACTAATAGAATTTGATACATTTATGAGTAACCAAGTGTAGTTTTTCATTAAAATGAACTAATACAATTTTTTTTATATTCCTTTCTTTTTACTTTAAATTCTCCTATATAACTTGATTTGTGTTTAAGATAATAATATTAAAATTATTTGAAAAATCCACGTCTAACATTTTTCATTATTTGAACTAAAAGTATTTTTAAGTTCTATTCTTCTATAAATTCTCTAAAGGCATACGATTTATTCTAAAAACGTTTTCACAAAATTTCAAAAATAAAAATAAAAATTAACCTCCCATTTTATTCTACAACTTTTGATAGATTTTAAAATGATAAAATAAAATACTTTTTATGATATTACAAAATTAAAAATAATATATATTAATACTCATACAAATTTTATTAATATAAATTGTAATTAGTGTTTCATGTTACATATTAAACTATAATTATTTTTAAATAATTACGATTATATTTTTTTCATAATTTTCAAACTCTAAAATCATTATAGAGTCTTTATTAAAACTGAAAAATTGAGATTATAAAATAAAATAAAATAAAATTAATTTTTTTATGATGATATTATAAAAAAATTAATAAAGATATTTTTAAAAATTTAAAATAACAAAATAATTAAAACTTATTTTTTTAAATTTTAAAAATATTATAAATATTTTATAAAACTATGAAATAATAAGTGTAATATATTTGAAATTTTTTATTTCCAATAATAAAAATCAAGCATTAATGGTATATATGTTAGGAAACCATTTTTGTTATGACTTGGTATTTCGAAATTTTATTGAAAAGTAATTATTATATAAATGAAGTTGGTAACCACTATATTATTCTATCTGTTTATTAAATAATAACTGTTTTTAATGAAAATTATTATATTGATATAGAACTAAAATATATGAAAAAAATGTGTAAATTATTAAGAAGGTTAGAATTATAATATATAATAATGAGTTAGTTAAAATAGTGAATCTCGATACATATATTGATCGCTACCAGGATTTTGTTTTTGAATATATGCATAAATAAAGTTATTAAGTTTTGAAATATTTAATAATTTATTTATATAATCACGTTAAAATTAAATAATATGATTAATTCCAAATTTAGTTATATAATTTTTTTCTTCAAAATATTAAGTGTGTCAAATATTATTATGATTTATTCTTAAATAGAGTATAAACAAAAATATGATGTAAATATACTAGATAAGGAAAAATTTTCCATTTTCCATATTCTCATCTTAGGTAGTGGTTTAGGGTTGTAATATGTTTTATGAACTTTGTTGGAAAATTATGTCGATGTTCGTTTATGTTTATGATTCACATATGTTCTCCAGTACTTCTGTGTGCATGATGTAGATATTGGAGACTACATTTTTTTTTAAATGATTTTTTTTTTAAATTGATGATATTCTAAAAGACTAATAACATGTGTATTTTTGTAATTTCAAAGTTGCGAAACTTATTGAGAAAAACATGTAAATATATATTTTTTTCAATGGAGAAAAATACTAATTTTGAAATAATAAAATAAAAAATATACCAAAAATAAAAACAAACCCCCACAATCTAATCATTCTCTCTTATCCTTAAGCACAATTTATGTGCCCTACTTTTCAGTGAGTCAACATATTCCATTTTGATTCAGTCATAGCACTGAATGTTGCACACAAGCAAGTTTTGGTTGGATTGCCAACATGAGTGAGAAGAAAATCTAGAGAGAGAAAGCGAGCCTTAGAAGGGTCATGGATCCTCATGAGAGAGAAAGTTGAACTTTTTTTTATACGTAGTGGCCAGTTAACCCAGCTATTATTTCTCCTTGCTTTTTTCATGCCGTTTGAAACCCTAAAAATTAGGTTCATTATTTCAACTGCAATTTTCAATTTTTTTAGAAGATGATAACATCTTTTTTATTTTCTTTGTAAAATCTTCGTTTCTATTGCCTATATCTAAAATAGTCATGCATAAGAACTTTTCATAAACCTTTACCAGAAGTAAAATAGTGAGTCTTATATTTTTAAGAACTTTTTAAACTAAAATCTTAATTTTAATCATCTTTATTTAAATGAAAATGATCATATATAACGTTATATTTATACAAGTTTTTATTAAATATTTATATTGATCACCTCTATTCAAAGTAAAATCTTAATTTTAATTATCTTTGTCTAAAGTAAATGATCATACTGTTATGTTCATAAGAACTTTATATAAAATTTTCACTTTGATGACCTTTATCAAATGTAAATTGGTCATAATATAATATTTATAAGAACCATTTATAAAATAATATATATTATTGTAAAGAAAATCTATAAAAAATAATCAGCTCTCAATGTATAAAAGAAAAACCTTTCTGATTTCACTAGTATGAATAAGCTCTATGTACTGATCAAACTCTTTTCTCTCTCTTTCTCTTCAAACTCAATCTTTTCTTCCCTTTGCATGTGGATCTGTACTTGGTACTTTTCCTTGGCTTTCTATTAATCAAATACATTCAATTTCAATTTTATGTCATTTCAGAAATCTCCTTGTGGGTTTTTCTTCTCTTCTCTATTTTTTTTTTTCATTTCTGGGATCCCAATTTTGGTTTTGGGATCACAGGTTACGGGTTTTTCTCACAAGTATGTAAAGTTTTCTTCTTTCTTTGTTTTGGGATAATGTGAGGCTGTATTCAGTTGGTTTCAAGAATGTGATTCTGTCTCAGGAGTAGCTGCGTGTTATGATTCCAGATCTTCTTGTTGCTTTCTCCAAGATTCATGGTTTGTTCAACGTGGGTTGATCTATTGTCGAGCTTGAAAACAAAAGAAGTGCTACTTTGAAGGGTTATTGATTTTCTATTACCCATTTTCAGTGGTGTTTCAATCTCTTAATTTCAAAGAGCAACGTTGATGAATTTTGGCTCATTATAGATTCCAGGTTCGTTGGACTTGAAAATCTACAGGTGAATCTCCATGCGTGTATCTTGTTGAAAAAATATATTTCTATGCTATGTTCAATTCTATTCAATTCTCTCATACAAGACTGAAACATGCTGAACTATTGCAATAAATGACTGGGCCCATGAGTTTCATCCTTGTCTTGCATAATGTGGACTTAAATGTTCTAAAATTGACAAAAAAATAAAAAATCAATTGCAACTTTTGTTTGCCATAATTGTTCCAGGTTCACTGATGATTGCAGTATGTAGGATTAATTATTTATCTCTGCTTGATTCAGGCAATCATAATTTTCATTTATGGTTAGGTTTTGTTTTATTTCATCTTATTTTCTGTGTTCAGAAATTTTCTATTTACTGGCAACTTATGGCGCTGGAAAATTTTATATATCTTTGATTTTTGGTTTAAGTTTATCTGTTGGGGTTTAAATTTGGGTCCTGGATTACCTTTACTATTTTTTTTTTCCTGGTCTAATTCTTGAAAGTGATAGATACTGTGCAAGTATTGACTTCCCTTGATTTTGATGCTTGAATTGGTTGTTCAGTATGTAAGTTTGGATTTTGGAACTTCACAAGCTTTTTTATTAAATAAAGTTATTGTATATGGATGGCAAAAAACTTGTAATCTAATCATACTGCTAATTTTTCTAGGGTTAGAGATGCTAGGTTGTAGCTTTTCACCCTTTCCACTAAAATGATTTAACTTCTCTCTACTTTGCAGGCATATTGACAGTGATGAGTAGCGTGACTAGTGGAGATGAAAATAGGAAAATATCCAGAGGCCGTCGGTCGTCATCATTGGACGAAGAAGCTGGAGTCGGAGATAACATGGGAGAAGTCCCTCTAAAGAAAGGTCCTTGGACTGCAGCAGAGGATGCAATTTTGTTAGAATATGTCAATAAGCATGGACAAGGCAATTGGAATGCAGTCCAAAAGTATTCAGGACTTGCCCGTTGTGGGAAAAGCTGCCGTCTGCGGTGGGCAAATCACTTGAGACCAGATCTGAAAAAAGGTGCAATTACTGAAGAGGAAGAGAACAGAATCCTTGAGCTTCATGCAAAAATGGGGAACAAATGGGCTCGGATGGCTGCAGAGGTTTGCAGAGTTATCACTTACTTTTAATGTTTTGTCATTGTAGGTTATTCTTAATGAAGCTAAGTGATTCAAGAAGCTTATCCCACATAGCCATTGTCCTATATCTTTTAATTATGACAAGGAGAACACTCACTAAAGATGAGTTTCTGGGTGGATAATGCTATATTAATTGAATATAATTTAGTATTATTTTTGTCAACATAAACACATCTATAAATATGGGAGGCTCATGATTCATGATGTCTATACATTATTTTCTGGATTTTGGATGTATTTGATGTCCCAGAGAAAATTAGAGAACTGAAAGTTTGTACTATTGCTATCATGATTCATCATTCATCATTCATGCCTGGTGTCCCCTCCCCATATATATTCAAATTCAGATTCTGAGAATCAAACCTGGCAGTTAAGAATAGTATGTTGAACTGGTACAATGATTTATTGTTCTTGCATGGTGTCCCCTCCTCAGATATATATTGATTCATTCTTCTTAATGCTTGCAAATCAATAGCTTGCCTCTTGTTTAATGAAATTTTCTTTGGATGATTTTGATCCTTCTGGACTGTACATGGATTGTGAATTATCTGATAGTAAAACTAGATCCTTCTTTGATTGGGTTGAAGAGACTTTCTGGGTTCTTCCTCCTCCCAACTCTAATCACTAAATACAAATTAAAAGGATTTTACATTTAGTTATGATAACTGCAAGGAGTTAGAAAACATAAAACATGTTTAGTACAAACATTTTCAACTATTTTTTGAGAAACATGTTTAACTGCACATTGAAAGCTGGAACTGATTAATTTTTTGTATCTGTACTGCATATTGTCAGATGATTCATAGTTTCAACATGAAATTGTTTATTCCTTTTAATTAGTTAATTTTTGTACTAAATCATAATTGTTTGTTATGAAAATATAATCTCTGCAAATGTTATTAGTGGGATAACACTAAAATTTTATACCTTGGTGCATATTTGCAAATTTGAATAGAGAAATGTGAAAGAAATAATAGAGCTAAGGAGACTATGTAGTGGGTTATGCAGATGGGTACTATGTACCATTATGTACATTATAATGTAGACTATTGCAGAAGCAGACTACACAATATTTTACCCTGGTCGAAAATCATATCTGTATACACACAGGAAAGAGTATAAAAAAAAAAAAAAAAAATTCTACAGAAGCTCAGGCATGATGACAATGACTGACATCAACCTAGTATGAACAAAACCAATGTGAGAATCTTTTGGCATTAATCTAATCAGACTTCTTGTTGCATTCTAGGGTGAACTTGCACACACATGCACATTTATTGAGAGAGAGTAAGAGGTTGGAGGGGGAAGTACCAACTATATAGTAACTATTATACTCCTTTTTAATTATCCTATTAATTATTCCATGCTTTACATGTCATGGTTGCTTTTGTCTATTTCAGTAATTTTGATATTTACATGTCATCATTGCTTTTGTCTATTTCAGTTGCCTGGGCGTACTGATAATGAAATCAAGAATTATTGGAATACAAGAGTCAAAAGAATGCAACGGGCTGGCTTACCAATCTACCCTCCTGAGTTATGTCAGCGGTTACTTAATGGAAATCAAGAAAGTCAAAATGTTGGTCCTTTGACTATTGAAGCCTCCCAGCAGGATGACCTCTCACAAATGGACAATTTTGATATACCAAATGAGGATTTCAAAACTTTCAAATTTCTTCATGATCCATCATTAGAACCATCAATTTTTGATATGCCGGAAAGCAACTTGTTTGAACAAAGTTTGGACCCGTCTCATAGTTACGACTACTTGTTCCAATCAATATATCATTCAAAACGTCCCCGGAAGTCAGAGATGATATACAATAGTTTTGGTAGTTGTACAAGTAATGTCCCACTATTTGATCAGTATGACAATTATAGTACTGAGAAAATTTATGACTATCCTAGGTTTTCTCCTCCTTTCGATCCTGTTCTTAACACCAGCAATCAGTTTCATGGTGATAACATAAACGGCAGCCATGCCATGTTAAATGGCAACATCTCTTCTTCTGTGCCCGAATTTGGGGCTATGAAGATGGAGCTCCCTTCACTCCAATATACAGAAACTCAACATGGTAGTTGGGGAATGTCTGCATCCTCACTTCCTAGGCTTGATTCTGTAGATACATTGATTCAGTCTCCTCCAATTGAGTCTATTCCATCAGATCTCATTTCTCCACAAAGCAGTGGTTTGCTTGAAGAAATAGTCTATAACTCGAAGATGTTGAGAGACTCAAACAATGATTTATTTTGTCCAGATATAACTGGTACTACCAACGAAGCAGCAGGGAGTTCAACCTTGTATCATCCCTTTAAGACAGAATGGGATGAGCAAGGGGAGCCAAACTCCCCCTTGGGTCAATCAGCTGTTTCAGTTCTGACTGACTATACTCCTATAAGCTCAGTAGATGGGTCCCAGTCAATTGAAACAACTCAAGGTAACACAAAAACATATCATACCATTTAGTTAAACACGAAATCATATTTAAGTGATTTTATTAATGAGGTTTCCCCCTTATTTGACAGATCACGATGATAAGCTCGAAGCGCTCACCCAGATCCCAAATAGTTACATGAAGAAAGAAAATTTGGAACAGATTGATTTTTCGCAGCGCCCTGATGCTTTATTTGACTTATCTTGGTTTGGGAATGATACTGAATATGGAATTAATCAATTTGATCTAAAAGACGCCCTAACTGCACTTATTGTTGAAGAAAGCAAGGGTGACCTTGGTGAAGATGACAAGGGTAACCTTGGTGAAGATGGCAAGGGCAATCAGTAGCAGTGGGATTATTGGCCTTAGTCTAGTTCTTGTTCATGACATAATTACATTTTATTTTTGCCAAGATTTTTAACACAATTAGGCTATTTTCCTTTTTAGCATCCTTTAGAATCATGTATTGTGATGATGAGAGATTTTATGACACAATTTCAACTTTACCCTTGTTTTGACGTAGGTGGTATGGATTCTATCCCGTGTTATTTTGCATGATGTTGATAACTGAAGATTGATATTACATATATTTAGTATGGATTCAGCTCATCTGTAGTTACGTTTTTAAATTGTAGTTTGTCATTAAAACATTGTGTATATTGGTAAAGTTTTGTAGTCAATAATAATAATAATAATAATAAACGTTTTATTGGTACGGTCTAGATATGTTCAAAATTTGAACATGGGATGTTCTTGAGATGAGTTACAGCTGCGTATAAAGAGTAAAGTGCAAATAAACTAATATATATCTATCTATATATATATATATATATCTATCTATCTATCTATCTATCTATATATATATATATATATATATATATATATAAATATAAGGATTCATAGTAAGGAGATAGATGACAACTTGAGACTGTCTAGATTTTTTACTTCTTTTTTCCTCTTTCTCTCAATTTTTTTATTCGGTCTTATTGTTTTTTTCTTTATTTCAAATTTCTCTTTTTTTTTTCTCCTCAAACTTATTAATTTAATTGTAATTAATCTTATTATTACTATTATTGTCTAATTAAAAACAGCAGAATGTGACACTTTTTTTTTTACATTTTGTACAAAATGCAAAAGTGATGGTGCTCTCTACTTGGGTTTTGTAGAAATTAATCTTTTTTTTTTTTTTCAATTTAAAAAATGCATATAGGGGTTTATAATTTTGTTTTCTGAGATAAAACAAGAACATACTGCAGTCTTATTTACACAATAGTTGGACCAGCGAACTAATTTTTTTGTCCAATATGCCATAAGTAGAATATTTGAATTTTTAAAGGGTATATTACGGTGATTTTGACCAATTTAATTAGTATAACTTGGTCATTAACTCTGTAGTTGAAAAATATTTTTCTTAGTTTAAATTAAACTAATTAATAAAAAATATTTTTAAATTGTTATATTTTTGCTTATTGTATTTGTGACTATGATCCAAAGAGAGATTAAGTTTTGTATTTTACTGGTATGTTTAATTTGTATCAAATGAGTTGATTATTGGTGAAATCATTAATTAATATTAATTTATTTATATCAAATTTATAAATTTTTAAGATGTTATAACTCTTCTTTTAGAAATATATGACCCAATTTGTGAGAAATGATGCATGGAGGCTAGTATCTAGAATCATGACAATATGACAAGTACTAAGTGTGCTTTTAGACATAAATTGGATGAATTTCGTACCATAAACTAGGAACAAGACTAGATTAGTTGCTTAAGGATATAATTAGGAAGAAGACATTCAATTTGATGAAACTTATGTACCAATTGCTAGATTGGAAGTTGATAGAAAGTTGATAGATTGTTACTTGTATAAATGACTTCAAACTTTTTCATATGAATGTTAAGAGTGCTTTCCTCTATAGCTTTATAAAGGATATAATTAGGAAGAAGACATTCAATTTGATGAAACTTATGTACCAATTGCTAGATTGGAAGTTGATAGAAAGTTGATAGATTGTTACTTGTATAAATGACTTCAAACTTTTTCATATGAATGTTAAGAGTGCTTTCCTCTATAGCTTTATAAAGGAAGATATATATATATATATATATATATATATATATATATATATATATATATATATATATATATATATATATATATATAAACATCGTGGATTTAAACATCACAAGCATCCATGTCATGTCTATAAATTGAAGAAGACATGGTACGAATTAAAGGACTAAGACAATAGTATGAAAGACTTAACTTTCTCATCTCTCAAAACTAGGAAAGAGAAGTTGACAAAACTTTGTTCATTAAAAGGTTCAAAAGTGATATTATTCTAATTTAAGTATCTATAGATGATATCATACTGGATACTACTAATGTTTTTCTCATTGAAGATTTTGTGAAAGCCGTGTAGGGAGAAAATGTTCATGATGAGTGAGCTAACATATTTCTTAGGACTCCAGGTTAAACAACTAAGACATAACATCTTGAGCTAATGCAAATACTGCAATGATACCCATGAGAAATTTGGAATGAAAATTTGTAAAGAAGCTATCACTCCCATTTCTACCAATTGTTACCTTGATACTCATGATAAAGAAGTAGTTGTTAACTCAACAAAGTATAGATGCCTCATTGATTCTCTGCTTTTATTTGACAATAAGTATACTAGATATCATATTTAGTGTGTGCATGTGTGCAAGATACCACTCTAATCCAAAAGAATCTCATTATAATGTTGCAAAAAAGATCTTGATAAACTTAAAGGGAATAATCAACGTTGGTTTGTAGTATTCAAGTAATGCTACTTTAAAACTGGTTGGTTTGTTGTATTAAGGTAATGTTACTTTAAAATTGGTTGGCTTTTTTTATTTTGACTTTGTAAGGTGTAAGCTTGATAAAAAAAAGCACAAGTGAAACATATCGTATTCTTGCAAGTAGATTAATATCATGGCACAAGAAACAAGATTGTGTTTCTCTGTCAACTATTGCTGAGGCAAAATACATTACTGCCAGAAGTTGGTTTGCTCAAATCCTTTGGCTAAAACAACAACTACAAGACTATGACCTCCTACTAGACAAGGTACCTCTAGTGTGTGATAATACAAGTGTAATTAATGTAACTAAGAACCCCATCCAACATTCTAGAACAAAATACATAAAAATAAGACATCATATCATTAGAAATCATATTATAAAAGGGGATTGTGAAATCATGTACATAGAAACTGCATGACAATTAGTAGATTTATTTATTAAACCACTAGTTAGGGACAAATTAAATTTTTTAAGAATTGAACTAGGAATTATGGATTACTCAAATTTTATATAATTTCCTTGTTTCAACTTCTTATATTTAGTTTTACGTATTTTAATGTGATATATAATAGATTAAAGCTTTATCAATCAGACTTATAATTGCATTTATCTCTTATTTAATCAATTATTTCATCAAAATAATTGATTAAATTACCATTTATAAAGTTTTCATTACAATGTTTCTCTATTTAATCAATTCATTTTTCATTTTAACCGATTAGAATTTCTTAATTTTAATTGGAATGTTTCTTTTCTTTATTTTAATCGATTAAATTATCAAATTAATTAACAATTTCACTTCTAAAAAATGGTTAAATATCATCTCTAATTTAATAGATTAAGATGAAGATTTAATCCATTAAATTGTTCCACTTGTATCACTACTAGCAGTTTCACATTTTGATCGATTCAATTATGTACTATAACATGTAATATTTGTGCTAATGCATTAGAATAGTGCTTTACATGTGGCTTACAGTGGTTGGACCCTATAAAATTAACATATTTGACCAAATTAAATATACCATGTTGTTTACTATCCAAAGGTTTATGTTAAACAGAGGTGTTAAATGAACACATTTTAACACTAATTTTATTAGTGTATTTTATCTATATTTAATATTTTTTTTAATTAATTACAAATTTTTAACATAATTTTGTTAAAAGGATATAAATATCTTTGTATCTAATTTATTTCTTAAATTATATTATAACTAAATATTTGTTTATTTTTATAAGAATGACAAACTAAAAAAATAAAAAAGTTTTATCTTGAAGAATCTACTTGTTAAGTGGTAAAAAATTGATATAATTATGCCTTGAATTGTTATGAAACCACTTAACTTATGTAAATTCTAATATATTTTTCTCCCAATATAAGATGAATTCGAGAATACCTTGATATAAGAGTAAGGAGCATAATTGTCAAGCATAATTGGAGTAAAACTGAAAGAAGGAAGAAGATTTTCAGCATGAAAGTCGCTCGAGCGGGATGGACTCTCGCTTAAGCGAATATCAATTATTCTTCTTTGGAAGTCAGTTGCTCAAGCGCAAGAAAATTCTCTTGAGCGAATGTTAGTTATTCTTCTCTGGAGTTCACTCGTTTAAGCGAGCGTTTTGTCGCTTGAGCGAAAATAGGCAACTTTTGCTTGAACGAAAGTTGTCGCTTGAGCAAAAGACGCGAAACCCAAAAGCCCAATTTTTCCTATAAACAGAGAAGATGTGTTTTGAGAAAAGAAAGCGGTTTTAGGAAAGAAGAGGCGCGACTACTGCTAGGGCTTCGTCCAATCTTCATCAATTCTTCACTTCTTCCACATTTGGAGCATTGTAATGGCCAACATGAGTGACTAACTTCATTCTCTTGGGATTAGGTGCACTTCCTTTGAACTCTTTTGTATCATGGTGATATTTTGTGATATTAATCTATGTTTTGATGTTGTTATTCTTATCCTTTGTTCTTTAAAATGATTTATTCTTGATGTTTGGGGTATGATTGGAAAATATATCTTGAACCCTAGATCACAGTAAGAATATTTGTTACATTAATTTCCAGGAATGGAATGAATGTATCAATTGCTTAATACCCTAAACCTAATGCTGGAAAATCTCTTAATTGTATGAGGAATCAACATTTATTAGGTTTTCTTATGAATTTCATGTGTGAGGAATCAACACGGATGATTTGAGTAGGTGACATCAACATTGTTAGGTTAATTGACGTTCTTAATTGACATAGCCATTACAAAAGAGGGATAAGAAAGGAAACCAATCCTAAGTGTCTTTAATTTCAATTCAACTATTTATGCAAAACCCAATTTGTTTTAATCCACTTAGTAAGCATATAATTGAGAATTTCCATTGAAACCATTCCTCGTGGGATCGACTTTTATTTAATCGAAATACTATACTGCGATTGATAATTTTGGTACGCTTGCCAATAATTCAACAAGTATTTCTGGCGCCGTTGCCGGGGAACAATGTTCTTTGAGAATTTTTTGTTTAGCTTATTTAGTATTT